TCCAAACCACCTTCTCGTTAGCCTCCAACGTGACGCTCAAGGACATTCGTACCAATTTACAAAACTATGCCAGAGCTTGCAAATCCCCTCCTGAAACCTGCCAGTTCCTCTCAAACCTTATGCATCTGCACACAGGTAAATAACATCTGGATTCATCATGACCAAGGTGGCAAACAATCGTGTTTTATATGGCTTTATTCAACAACAAGCAAAAAAAGCGAAGGTGGCTTTCTGAAAAGCTCCTTTAAAATGTTTATAATTTAAATAGAAGTCATGTTAAAGCTTATGAAGCACAAAAGGGAATGCAGATTTTCAAGTCATATCTTAGGCATATATGTGAGAAATCTGCCTGTTTGTGAAACCGTGCCTCTGAGTAGAAAAACATTACAGGACAGGATTGAGGTCATTGTGCCTGGTCCTTTCATCTCTGGGAGACGGCATTGAATCTGAGCCAGATGAGAAAAGCACGGAGGCTTATTCTGATCGTGGGGTTTGAACCTCTCTGAATGATGCAAGTGCAGTGCTGCTTGAGAAGAGGAGCAGATGTGGGTCCCACTGAGATACAGAATCCTCTGGTTGGTTTGATTGCAGTGGTTCTCGTCTACTTTAATTAGTGAGTCTGTTTGCAATTGGACTTTCCCAGTTTCTGCAGTGGAGTGTGTCACTAGAAAAAGTGAGTTTCTATGCATAATTCTCCACCCACCAGCAGCAAACCTGGAATACAACGTTTGTCAAAGGACCCAAGTGAGAGATGCAAATCATTATTTATGCAGGGACCCTCAAATGCTGAGGGATTCATTCTGTCAACGGAAATTATTTTTACTTCTCTGGGTACTTTATGACCAGTATAACAACAGAAATGAAGGGACCCTTAATTTTTTGAGTGCTTGGTGGTAACTTGAGGACTAAAAGGAGTGATATCCCATGAAATGAGTGGTGTTTAAAAGAGTGACTTCCATCAGACACTTCTGTCTCCAGAGCTTTGTGATGTTGCTGTAGACCACTGATTCTCAACCAGGGTGTCTTGACATTGCAAGACCTGGGTTGCATTGAGAACCTCTCAAGGGTGCCGTGGGATGCCACAAAATACTAGTGCTATTAGGTATGCAAAAATGATTTGCAAGATAAACCCAGAGATTTCAAATAGGACGCCACAGTGTCGGAAACATTCTGCTCTGTTGTGGCCGTTCTGAGTCCTGCACAACGGAATTACTCTATTATTTTTCCATAGTCTGAAAAGAAAGGGAAGCTAAGAACCAGCATTTTCTGAGGGATGCCTTGAGTCTGAAAAGATTGAGACTACTCAAAAGTTGGAAAAACTTACTTTTGGGTCCAAGTCTACAAGACAAACAAAAGAAAAATTGGTTTGGTCATTGGCAAATTAAGCATAAAATTCAGAGAATGTTGTCATATGGATTTAACCCCCTCCCTCCAAAAACCCCCCAAAGACAGACTAGGTTAGAAAGAGGCCAAAAGGCCATTATGGTCACCCAATTTCATCTTTTGACTTGAGCAGGCCACAGCACTTCTTCATTAATTCCTGTATCCAGCTATAGGAAATGGTAATACTTGCTGTGTCAGGCCAGCTTTCCAAGCCTAGGGAGCAGCCTATTCCTTGGCTCCATTTCATTAAGTTCAGTTTTCTAAGTTCATGTCCAAAGGTAAATAGGATCAGCAGCAGCACAAGCTATTTTCTTACATAAGAGACAAGACGATGCATTCAAAAGGGAAGGGGAATATGGGCCAGTTCAAACTGGGAGTTACACGGGGAAAACTTCACTATCAGTACACACTCTAGCAATGACTGTCTTTTTAGCAGGTGATCCAGCTTTCAGTAAGCAGTGCAGATTAGGGGGGACAGAAATATTTAATGTATTTAGGTCAGTTTTGCTGAATTGTGCATATAAAAGCAACTCCTCCCCCCCTGCAAAATATCCCAGCACTGTCCACATATTCTACATGAAATGTTTCTTTTCCTTTAATTTAAGATGACTTTTTGTTTTGAAACGTCCTTCCGGTTGATTTACTAAAAAGTGAAAAAGCTCAAAAATGAAACAAAGCAGTTTCTTTTGGTCAGAACAAAACGTTTTGGTTGGCTCCAAATAATTTTTTCAACTTTTTGATTTGACCTGTAATCAATTTTTTGAAAAAATCTCAGAAGTGCCAGAAACCTGACAAATCCATCATTTTTACAGCTCTGACATCAGTGATTGTACAAGTAATAGTGACATCAGATAGCATGACTTTGTCTCCAAAATTATTATTAAAAATTATTAGTAAAATTAGGAACATTATTAGTAAAAAACGGGAAAAGCGATACCTGAGCTCAATGCGATACATGGGGAAAGCCCAATTATCAACATGCGTAACTGTTTACAGGGAAACGTATTGATCTTGTCCATGTCTTTATGGTAGCTGGCGGTTTATGTGAACAGAAAGACCCTGAATGCGACAAAGAAACTTCTGAATGCAGAGATTTCGATGGCATTGCAGTCTGTAACTGCAGAAACGGATACTTTAAATACAACAAGAAGGATCTTTCCTGCAGAGGTATTGTTCTTTATGCATCCACATTTCCTCGGTTTCTGCTTCATCTTTTGGTCCCATTTGAAATGATTTTTCATGTCTGGATTTTTTTTTTTTTAATTTCTATTCATGCTAAGGAGCTCAACCTTATGAATAAATATTAGCCACTTAGATTTCCTCTGTTATGGTAGTTTGCCATAGAAATTGAAGATATAATCTCTCTCCCTGCAGTAATAATATTATCTCTTT